AGAGTTTTTGATGGGTGATTGGGGTGAGGGTCTGAAGTGATCGGAATTTTAGGTTTGTGAGATGGGATTTTTGGAAAATGTAGGGTTGTAATGGTCAAGGAAATTTTGAGTTTTTAATGGTTTTTGGTTCCGAATGGAAGCATTGTATTGGTCAAATCCGCAATTTTCAATTTCTTGTGTTGGGGTGAGTAGTTTTGGCGTCAGAAGTTGGAGTATACGCTTTTTGGTCAATGGGGATTTGAAATATTCTTTTCAATGTCATCTTTCCCGGGTTTGATCGTGGGATTGATTGCATCAGCTGTTGTTGAAAAAATTGATTTTGAAACCAATATTCGGGGAAAGGTAAAAAAATTTAATGGCGGGGCAATGTTGGCTGCTAATGTTGAGACAATGTTGACTGTCAATGTTGCGGCAATGTTGGTTGTCAACATTGGGGTAATGTTGACTGCCAACGACAAGGTAATGTTGTTTGCCAACATTGGGGCAATGTTGACAGTTAGCGTTGATGCAATATTGACTGCTAACGTTGGGGCAACGGTGACGGTCATCGTTGCAGCAATGTTGGTTGTCAACATTGGGGTAATGTTGGCTACCAACGATAAAGCAATGTTGTCTGCCAACATTGGGGCAATGTTGACAGTTGGCGTTGATGCAATATAGTCACTGCTAACGTTGGGGCAACGGTGACAGTCATCGTTGCGGTAATATTGATTGTAAACATTGGGGTAATGTTGACTGCCAACGATAAGGTAATGTTGTTTGCCAACATTAGAGCAATGTTGACAGCGTTGATGCAATATATTGTCTGCTAACGTCGGGGCAACGGTGACGGTCATCGTTGCGGTAATATTGGTTGTCAACATTGGGTTAATGTCGACTGGCAACGATAAGGTAATGTTGTCTGCCAACATTGGGGCAATGTTGACAGTTAGCGTTGATGCAATATTGACTGCTAACGTTGGGGCAACGGTGACGATCATCGTTGCAGCAATGTTGGTTGTCAACATTGGGTTAATGTCGACTGGCAACGATAAGGTAATGTTGTCTGCCAACATTGGGGCAATGTTGACAGTTAGCGTTGATGCAATATTGACTGCTAACGTTGGGGCAACGGTGACGATCATCGTTGCAGCAATGTTGGTTGTCAACATTGGGTTAATGTCGACTGGCAACGATAAGGTAATGTTGTCTGCCAACATTGGGGCAATGTTGACAGTTAGCGTTGATGCAATATTGACTGCTAACGTTGGGGCAACGGTGACGATCATCGTTGCAGCAATGTTGGTTGTCAACATTGGGTTAATGTCGACTGGCAACGATAAGGTAATGTTGTCTGCCAACATTGGGGCAATGTTGACAGTTAGCGTTGATGCAATATTGACTGCTAACGTTGGGGCAACGGTGACGATCATCGTTGCAGCAATGTTGGTTGTCAACATTGGGTTAATGTCGACTGGCAACGATAAGGTAATGTTGTCTGCCAACATTGGGGCAATGTTGACAGTTAGCGTTAATGCAATATTGACTGCTAACTTTGGGGCAACGGGGATGGTCATCGTTGCGATAACATTGATTGTCAATATTGGGGTAATGTTGACTGTCAACGATAAGGTAATGTTGTCTGCCAACATTGGGGCAATGTTGACAATTAGCGTTGATGCAATATTGACTGCTAACTTTGGGGCAACGGGGATGGTCATCGTTGCGGTAACATTGGTTATCAATATTGGGGTAATGTTGACTGTCAACGATAAGGTAATGTTGACAGTTAGCGTTGATGCAATATTGACTGCTAACGTTGGGGCAATGTTGGCTGTCAACGTCGAGGCAATGTTGGCTATCAACGTTGACTCAATGTTAAATTCAATGAATCATTGAATTTGATTTGAAATACATCGTCATATAAATTCCATTCGGAAGCAAATTGATAATTTATTAGTAAAAATATATTGATTCGGTTACGAGGAAAGCAATCTCCCACGTGTTTTTTAGTTTTTTAGCTCAGGATGGGAGACAATCGAGACTTTTGGAAGGGCAAGGGTTGTGAGGGTCATGAGTGTCACGAAAATATGAAGTTTTTAATCGTCATCTGTCGATGAGATGCTTGGGTTTAGGGTCTGAAGGGTCTAAAGTCCTTAATCGTTGTTTCACGTTTGTGAGACGATTGGAAATTTCGGAAGACTCAGGGTCATCAGTCACGAAAACATCAAGTTTTTGTTTCCCTTTTTTAATTTTTTAGCTCAAAGTGAAAATTAAAATTTTCTCTAAAATTGTAAAAACAATTAGATCATTCGGATGAGATTGTGTATTGTTAAAAGCACAAGTTCAATTAAAATAAAATAGACAGTAATGACATTATTTTCCACACTTTCATCTCAAAGAACCCCACCATAATTATTAAAATCATAATCACCTGTATGATTTTTGGTATCTTTAGGCGGGCTTTCCCCATCGCTCGAGTCACCCTCCGAGTCATTCCCGCAAATGTCGGACCTCGGTGACGCTCCCTCCTCCTGAAACACCAAAAAGTCCCCAAAGATGATTAAAAAACACGAATCAATATCTCAATCTCAAAGAATTCATAAAATCCAAAAATTCTGGAAAAAAACGGGAAATTTTCCACTTCAGTTTTCCATCAATTGGAAAGTTTCCTCTCCAACTGCGCCTCCCCCCCCCGCCCCCTCCGTCAGTGTCACTCAGAAATTCCCGGAAGACGTGAAAAAAGCACCTGAATTAATTCGTTAGTACCGACATGAGCGGTAAAACGATAACAAAAAAAAGAAAAACGTTAAAATTGTCGAAGCGCTCTTCGTGCAAAATGATTCCCCCCCTTGGTGGTACGTGCGTATACATACATACGTGGGTAAAACCTAGCGGGGAGAGAGATGCATCCTTGTTCGCACCTTATAAGGTCATCACCGGGCTGCTCGAGTCTTCAATACGCACTCTATATACTTTGCGGTTTTAAGTGATTCTCACAGGAGATGGGTAAAGGAAAAGAGTAAAGGGGAGGGAGGACCCCTCGGTCGTTGAAGTGTTCTGAGGTTCCTTCATCCCTCAATTTTCATAGAACTAAGTAACACTATTCGAGGAGATTGAAAAAATTAGAAATTTTTTTTTTCATTTTGGCGTCCAAACCTGTTGGTTTATTCCGTCTAAAAAAATTTACATCACATTCTAATTAAAAATTTGGAAATCGAAGAAATTGAAAAATTTTTGCTTCTATTGTTTTTGAATATTACTTATCAATTTCCTATTATTGACGGGATTTTTGGTTCGTAATGGAGGGAAAGACAGAATTTTTTGTATTTGTTCTTTTCCTCCGTCTCAACTATCTTCATGTATGATCGTCTTATTCCATTTCGTTTTTCGTTTATCTCTTGTCACGCATGAAAACATTTAATAGAAAAACCTATCGAATTCGTTAGAAAATTCTATTGAATTTCTATTGAACTTTCTATTAGTTTTTGGCTGATTCTATTGACATGTTCAATGGAAAAAATTCAATAGAAAAAGTTAACAGAATTCAATTTTTCTATATAATTTATTTTCACATATTTTCTATAGAATTTGCTCGACTCAAATTTTCTAAGTTTTTTAAATTCTATTTTTCTTTTCTTCTCATCAAGAAAATCAAACGAAAAAAATTAGAAAATTTGAGCCGAGGAAATTCTATAGAAAAATTGAATTCTATTGACTTTTTCTACTGAATATTTTCTATTGAACATTTCAATAGAATCGGGCAAAAACTGATAGAACAGTTCAATAGAAATTCAATAGAATTTTCTAACGAATTCGATAGTTTTTTCTATTAAATTTTTTCGTCCGTGGTCTTTTTCTGTGGACGTGTCTTTTCAATTTGTACTCTTGGTATCATTTATTTCACCCCTAAATCTTTTGATAAAATGATTATTTATTAAAAGGGGTCGCTTTCTTAACATTGGTGTCAGAAGTGTTGCGATTATTTTTTATCGAGTGAAATAGTGAAAATCCCAGAAGCAAGATGGACTCCCCATGAGAGGCATTGTCTTGGCACTTCTCACCGGATGACAAACCCCACGTATCTGGATGGTCAAGACATTACAAGGACTTAACTCGGTAGCTAAAATTTTTTTGTTGATCATGATGACGGGTAGGAAAATGTTATGATAGGGGATTTTTTTTTCTAATTTTATTTAGATGTTTTTTTTTGTGATACGAGTGAAAAAACGCACTCTTCCGCCTTTTTTCACCAGTATCATAATTAGTATATTTCGATACGCGTGAGATGAAATTTTTACGGGTGTGAAGTTGGCGGCCCGAGGGGACGCCGAGGGCTGTCAATCACACGAACTGAAAATTCCCGTCTCACATGTGTCGAACAATATTTTTTGACAGTGATGTTACGTTCAGCGAGTGGCCGAATTGTGCCTTTTTCGTTTACAAGTAAATAAAAAGACTTTTCGCTTAGGAATAAACGAAAAGTGCCTTTTCGGCACGAGGTGAACGCAGCAGCAGTGTCAAAATAGTATATTTCGATACGAGTGAGATAGAATTTTTACGGGTGTGAAGTTGGCGGCCCGAGGGGACGCCGAGGGCTGCCAATCACACGAACTGAAAATTCCCGTCTCACAATATTCGTCGAACAATATTTTTTGACGGTGATGTTACGTTCAGCGAGTGCCGAACGGTGAATTTTTTTGCAAACGAAAAGGCACATTTCGGCACGAAGTGAATGTAGCAACAGTGTCAAAATAATATGTTATGTTACTAGGCGATAAAAGTACTGGGAACTGGTGGATGGGCGTATGACATCTGGTGGTGAAAAAAAGAATCATTTTAAGACAGCAAACGTCTCCGCTCAATAGACCTTTTCATTCTGGAAATCTAGGGGAAATATTTATTTCGTTCATTCAACGAAAAAATCTCCGAAAAAAACCATGGAAAATTCTGATAAATATTGAACTTTACAATGATATACACTTGAGCGCTCAAAAACCATGATTTATATGTAAATTCGATAAAGTGTCCGCAAATCCTAGGGGAATTAACATGGGAAAAAAGTGTCCGCAAATCTAGTGACTCTCAGAATGAAAAGGTCTAGGACTGTAATGGAAACTGAGCCGTCTTCAAAAGTCAATAACTCGAGATTGGCAGAGTGAAATTCAACATATGTTAAAATAATTAAGGTGGAGCCTCGCCGGTTATTTTGTTGTGAGGAAACACCAGGGTTTTTGTGAGGAGTTCTCATAGGGGATGAGTAACAGGGGGAGGGGTCATGGGATTATTCTAAGGGTCCTCCGTCCCTCAATTTTCATAGAACTAAGTAGCATTATTCGAGGAAATTTGAAAAATTTTTAATTCGAAAATCTAAAAAACAGCAAAATTATTGCTATATCATTTTTAAATGCAGTTTAATAATAGCCTATTTTGTTAAACATAATTAATTAAGTAATTCTTCCCATTACCGTACACCTTTCGGTTTTTACGGATAGCGTTCCTTCGGATTTTTACTTTCCGACGTGTTCCCTCATGGTCACCACTCCACTTAGTGACTACGCTCAGCGCTGCTTAGCTCACCAACGCAGTGCGCTAGCCCCTCAGGGCATTTTTCAAACATTATTTTTCAACAAGGAAATAATTTTTTTTTTCAATTACAATTTTTGTTCATTCATTAGATATAATTTTTTATTTCCGGATTTCCTCATATTATTTGGGATTCTGAAGCCTTTAGAGTTCACTTAAAATTGATGAAGCATCAGAAAAAAACGGGAGGATAAAATCAAAATTGGGAATCAGAAAAACAATTTTATCTAATTCAATTTCCCAACTTTTTGTCTCAATTAGAGGAGAAAAACAAGAATTGAAAGAGAAATTCATCGATTCTTTGAATTGAATAAGGAAATGATCTTTTTCTGTTACTTCAGCTTCCTCGAGACATTCCATGAATAGAAAAGATCACTAGGTATGTCGACTATTTCTGCAAGAAAAGCTTGCAAAAACCTGAGAAATTATGCATTTTCTCACTCTCGCCGATATCTTTGGAATCCACAAAGCACCAGGGATCTCTCAATAGATGAATCAATACCCAAGTGTCACAGGAAGATGACAGCGTCAATTTCGCTTCAGATTCGCTTCAAATTAATTTTTGTGAAATATCTGGGAATCTCAAGGACTTATAAACCTGCAGATAAGGGAGTTGTTCTTTTTTAGAGATTCGTCCACTTTGAATAGTGAAAGGGAATTGATCAACGATTCAAAATTATCATTAATTTTTCACTTTTCATCATATTGCCCGCAATTTAATACGTTTGAAATTTGAATGAAGAAAAGGAAGCGTTTCACTAGAGAAACTTTTTTCTAGTGTTTCTTAAAAGAGTTACGGTTTGAAGAGATAGGAACAGGTGTACCTGAAGGCAGTTGAGAGGAAGAAGAGAAAGAATACGCAAGAATATCATCTTTATCAGCGCACGTTAATACTCAAAAAACAGCGGTAATTGGATTATATAACTACTCCAACGAATTTTTTGAGAAAGCTGAATTATTTCGTCATTTAATACCAATGGAAATTGAAATCAAGAAGAAAACTGAGTCGGACTCAATTAGGTAAATAACTTGAAGGGGGTGACTGGGTCAAATTTTGGCCTTTGTGGGGTTCATACCAGCTGTCCCCGTCGCGAACCCTGGGTAATGCTAAGTGCTGGTGAAGCTCAATACTTTAAGAATAAGT